AGTGAGACTAACTCAGGCTACTTCGGCTCCTGTCTATTACTTTATAGTAGTTGTGTAGTAGATAAGCAGTCAAAAGTCTCTACGATTCAGGCTTCAGTTTGGTTGCGAGTGGAATTTCAGTTAAATACTTGAATTCAACAAAATGAATATTCACTGAAAAGCTTCCGCCACCACATTTTGCCCTTTATATTCAGATCTATATTTTGTTATATTTAACTTTAATTAATCATATGCAGATTGACTCGTATGCATGCTTGCTTCAGCCTTTCCATGGTTTTTAACTTTATAGAACCAGCATTTCGGCAAGTTCGCCTTCGTCAAAGCTTGAAAGTCGAGAAACCTTTTGATATTTTCACAAGGTTGGCGATTTATGCACAAAACTTCAGTCTCGAACGGGACTCGAACCCGTGCTTGTGCTTTCCGAGCACCATTTTTCTTTCGAGGGTTTTTCGAACCTTTTGGTATTCGTTCTCCTATGATCTGTCGATCCCAGCTATTTTATAGAAATGCACTAAAAAATTAAGTGCTCGAAAATCCGATTCCACAGAACATAATAATTCGATAATCGTTCCGCAACCACGCCTTTAAAGTGACAGCTTTGACCATAATAAGGCCCCAATCTTGCCTCCAGGTTCGTAGGACTGACATTTCGAGAAACGATCGATTTAGATGAGAATGACCGTGTAGAACTCAGGCTCGTGCATTCTTTCCCTATTCTGTAGACTTTTCTGCCCAATCTGTGTCCTGGTGCTATATGCTTTCTTATGTTTCTATTCCACGCAACAATTCTCCTTTGGTGGACCCTAAAAGACCCTAAAAAGTGAGCTTTCGAGAGAGATAACGGAAACGACCTGATGAGCTGACATCTTGGCTATATCGCCTTCTTCTGAGTTTCGATCTAAAGTCGAAAGCGCACTTATTGTTCATAGAATCTTTTCCAAATCACAAAAAAAGCAACCCTGGGGGCTAGTTTCACGAATAAGAGGCGGTGAAAGAAGGGCTGACTTGGCACAGATGTAGCTGTTTGTATAACTGAGCTATAAGTTCTCTCGCAGAGCTGTTATATGCTTTCAAACCTCCAAAGTCGGACCACAGAGATCAGAGGGACCACAGAACGGTTTCCAGAAGAGGGGTGGCCATTGCAGCCACATTTCAGGGAGTGTTAATGTGTTTCAGGGTGGTACGTATGAATGATAGACTAGCATTTCCTTGACACATTCTCCATGCCATCCTTACCTATTTTTCCATTCACCTTTTCCGAATTTCAAATGCTTATGAGGCTGAACCTTCCGATCTAACATCTGGCTGCCCGAGAACTTAACGTGAATAATTCTTTCCACAAAACAACCACGCCGCATGTTGATTTGGGGCAGTCTCTACCAACCCCTTGCGACTTGTACCAGGTCGATTATCGTCCAAAACAACGCTGCCTCAAACCAACGTGTGTCCCTGTCGTCCTCCCCTCAAAAAAACAGAATTAACGCTGATGAAGAAACTCTGGCTGGGCTGCCGACTATTTATGAGCTCCATTTATCGGGTCGTATACTGAAATTACTTACATCGGTCCTGAAAGCACCCATAGTGGTCGGCACTTTTCGCAAAAAACCCCCCACGTTCAACCTCAACGAGCTATAACTTTCTCCTCGGTAATGGGTCTCTGAGGAAGTTATGAGAAAGCTCGAAAAGCAGCTGCTGTCCTAAATCCTCTCAATGACATAAGCAACTTCCAAAACTTTGAAGCTTCTATTCCAGAGGGAGATTATTCCTAGGATTTTTCAGTAAAGCCTCTGAGAAACTAAGAGTCTGCCACCGCTGTAAACGCTTTTCATTATGTTCCTTTGTATCATATTTTTCTGAATAAATGTACACTAAAATGCTCATAATACTTGCTGAATGTACCACTTACTCCCTGAAGAGTTGTATTTCTGATTCCTGCACTCAGCCGAAGGAGTTCCGTTTGTCCGTAGTCATTTGGCTTCTCTCCATTGTCAATTTTCTTCCGTGGGTGGGCTACAGAGTTCAATACCAGTTCATTTTCCTGTATCTTTCATCTTTTCTTGGGCGGAAGTGGTGTAGTGGCACTTGGCGCACTATCTCACACGCCATGGGTTCAAATTCTGGATTGACATCCGCCTGGACCAACCAAGCCTTCCATCCATTCGGGGTCGATTAATTGGTACCAAATTCGTCTGGGAGGATAAAAGCACTAACCTGTACATCGGCTGGCCACCGCAAGTCATTATAAGACCACATACGCCCTCATTACGCCTCTACGATTCTGAGGGAAGTCGATTGTGGGGGCGCATACCTCATACGAGATTTTTAAACGCCAAAAACTCTATCCTTTATGCTTTTATCATCTTTTCATCTGGATTTCCGAATTAAAATCTCTCTTCGCAGTCATAGGAATTCCTTAGAGTAGTCATGGTAATGTACTCGATGATTACTGTAATTTCAACCTCGATTGAAATTAAATTGAATCAAACAGCCCAGCAACGATTTTCACCTACTGATTCGTTTGACTTCAGCTTTCTGCTCTATGTATAGGGATTCGAGGTTAGCTTGTTGCATGAAGCTCTCTCTCTCAGTCTGTAACATCTGGCTACCAGTTGGGAGTTAATGGACATCGTTTTAAAATTTACTGACGATCTTTTTTTCAGTTAGCCTTCAGGCTGTATTGANAAGTACGAAGTTCAAAATATAGATATGGGCTTACTATGAAGNTCTCTCTGCTCTCCCCGAGAGCATACCTTACCGGGAAGGGGACCCTCCCCTATTCGGGGGAGCATACCTTACGGCCCTAGGTATCTTCGAGGAAGTTCCCAACAGACTAAGAGCCTTCACCACTTCATTTGTGAGTGAGTGTTTTCTGAAAGTTCCAAGTATTATCCCATGTCTGTGGCAGACACCTTTATGTCGCTTTTCCCTGAGCAGTCTGGTCATGGGTAACGATCTGTTTGTGCATATATTTCATCTTGCTTCACTAGATTTTCTGATTTCAGAACTTACGAAATGGCGTAGTTTTCGTCCTATCTGCTTACGCCTATTTACTCTCGGCCCAGTTGTGCCTTTTGAGTGATAGTTTCCTGTCGGTAACCACCCTCGTCAACGCTTCCACCAACAACCTTTACGCATTTCTTTACTATGACAGCTTCTGGGGTGGCAGGCAAAAGCCTACCCAAGCAGCAAGGATCAATTCAAGCCAACAACGAGATCCTCCTCTGCTCTTGCCCCCACACTCTTACAAAATGAGACTATGACCAATCTCTTATTGAAGGACACCACGCCTTTGCTTTAGTGATAATATTAATTTTCGCACTTTGCATGAGCTCTACAAAATTCAGATTAGCACTTTTTTTCATTGCCGTGTGCCAAATCCATATGAATGAACTTTTCAAAGAGTTTAGCAATCTCTTTTTGTCTCTCTCCCTCTCTCTCTACCTCTCTCCCTTCTCTCTCCCTCTCTCTCTCTATCTCGTTCGATCATTTCTAATGTTTGTATGTGAATATATGTGTGCCTAGGCCAACCAAGCTGCCATCCCTCCGGGGTCGCTGAACTGGTACCAGACTCGTCTGGGAGGATAAAAGCACTGACTTGTACATCGGCTGGCCACCGCAAGTCATTGTATAGGCCACATACGCACTCATTACGCCACTACGATACTGAATGGAAGTCGAGTGCGNGACGGGATTGATTAACGCCAAAAACTTTATCCTTTATCCTTTTAATATGTGTGCAGTATGGAGCTTAATTGCTCAGCATTGAAGTCTCATGTCTTCTTTCATTGGAATTACGTATTAGTACTTCGACAAGCCTCCCTGAAAGAAACTCTCACGAGACGTAACCAAACCTAAAATACTCTGCTAAGAAGACGTATCTTATAGATTTTTCTATATGCCTGCTTAAGGGGAGAAGTTTCTGTTTTGTTCCTTTAGCTATATGGGAATAGATGTTATAAAGTAAATGGCCCATTGAGGAAACTTTGAAACTGAAGTAGCAGCTTTTCCTTATCGCTGTAAATAAAGCAGTCATGGGTCTGTTGGAGATGGCAGCCCCTGGCAGAAAGGTAAAGTTCGTCTAAAACAAATAAACATAAACCCTACTCTTTATGCACTGAAATTTCAGCATTAATACCGACATCAGGGCGGAGGTGGCATAGTGTCAAGAGGCGCACTATCAGGCCAAGGTTCAAATCCCAGATTAATGTCCCCCTAAGCAATTGGGCATTCCATCTCTCCGGGATTCGTTACTTGGTACCAGACCAATCTAATAGGATAAAAATGGGCGGGGTCATGGTAGTGTAAGGGATAGAGCACGGTGCCTGGAAAACACAAGTACGGGTTCGAGCCCCATCCGAGACTGAAGTTTTGTCTACAAATCTCCAACCTTATGAGATAAAACCACTGACTTTTACATCAGCCAGCCATCGTAAGCCATTGTATAGGCCAAAACGCCACTACGATTCTGAACAGAAATCGAATGCTAGGGCGCATCCCTCAGACGGGATTGATTAACGCCCCAAAGATTTGATCCTTTAAAGACTTTTATCGACGAGAGCCATTACTTGTTCTTGACACCATTACATTTTTGTGGGACGCAGACGGAGATCACCAGAAAGTTTACACGAGCTTCATACTGCCAGCGAAGAGCTGCTGCAGCGCTCTTGCCATCACTATGAAAATCCTCCCTTATTTTGCTCCAGAGCTATTTTGCTATAGATCTTATCTCTCGAATAATTCGCTGGTGTCTTCACATTCTAACAATGTCGATTCATAAGCAAGTGCTCTGACCAATTCTTCCAATCTGTTATGAATGGGCCGAACCCATGAAGGCGGGGTTAGCCACTATGCTCAGAATCCTTCATTAGATTCATCGCTAAAATAACTCTACCTTCTATTTCATCCGTATACATCTTTGTTCGTTAAACGACCATGAATGGCTGCTGAAATTTCTATGATTTTACACGAAGTACTGAGATTATAGGTGACTCCCATGTTGAATGCTTATTTGGCTTCTCATACCTCTTGTTAGAGTGTCGACGCGTCCGATTCTCCGTTTACCAAACGTCGTTAACTCCACAGCCGATAGTATCGATACCTATGTCAACGAGACCCTTATTGAGGCGATCACGGCTGTTGACAGGATCGCGACGAATACATCGGTAGGTTCTCAGCAGCTTAAATTTCTGAAACGGACATTCCACTAATAAAAAAATTTGTCACACTTCTTCCTGTGGTTAAAAAGTGTTTCTGATATTTCTCCCTAGCTTCTTCCATGCAACTTTTGTCGTCTCACTCTCGTTCAACCCCGAATTTCGCTACTTTTTTTATGCCTTTTTTGATGTTTTTCACTTCTCTGATACGCCCATTTCACGTTTTCTTCGCCATTTTTCCACTATTCTGGACTATCACTTTCATTACTCGCCCAAAACCACATGACCAAAATAACTGACCCTCAAACCCTCAAATCCCCAAGGACAGCCTAGAGGACGCTGTCGGGTCGGAATGTAGTCAAGATAGATCGTAATAAATGCTCCCAAAACGGGCTTAGGCAACGTACACACCTAAGGCGGAAGAGTAATTAAATGTTGTAAAAGCTTTCACCATTCGCACCAGGACCCACACCTTACACGCAGGCGGCGTATTGCAGCCAGCTGTACGTGCGACGCGTGTGACACACACATTTGGACAGCTCGTCCTTCCATGCAACTTTTGTCGTCCCACTCTCGTTCAACCCCGAATTTCGCTACTTTTTTGATGCCTTTTTTGATGTTTTTTACTTCTCTTGATACGCCCATTTTCACGTTTTCTTTGCCATTTCTTCACTATTCTAGACTATCAGTTTCACTACTCGCCCAAAACCACATGACCAAAATTATTGTGAACTGTGCATTCAAGCATGAAGGGAACATGTATAGGGAGAAGCAATCCCCTTCTAGGCAGTAAACGTGTGACTCCTACCCATTTCTACTTTGGCATATCAAACCGACAGTCTTTACTGGGGTAGACTTATCAGATTGCTTATTCCCAGTCCATTACTGTGGAAAACCTTGGTAAATTGTTTTTTTTTTCAGAACCTCATTGATCCTTCGATATTCATTTCACTACGGCAGAATGACTGGCGTGATAACCATCAAGAGAAAATGATTATATGGTCATTGGAATCACCGCATCATCCAGATTTCGGTAAAAATTACCCGAAAGGACGATCACATCGGTAAAATTTGAGGTCTTCAATTAACGTCATAAACTCAGTGTGTCCAACTAAAATACATAGGACTAGAGCATGAGATGTATGGATTGAGACATAGACTTTGGTCTTATGGATACATGCATATCATGGACACTCAAAAAAAATCCCCAATATGCCAGAGAAATTATTGCCTCAAATTCTGAGGAAAAAACAATCCACAAAATCCTGAGAGGAATATTAGTCTCTTGGGAATGATGTGCAGTAATGGTCCTCAAATTATCTCCCATCAATCCTCTATACACCCTTGAAGTCGCTTGAAAGGCATCGTTCTTTGCATGCGTCTGGGCTCAACCAAGATCACACAAGCTTTCAGAGCAGTTTGGAGACCGCGAGGTTTTTGTCCTTCTGCTTGAAGCCTCACCCTCCAAGACCGAGACTGATGAAGCGAATTCAGATTGGGAGCAGGGGGTGCAGGAGGGACATCCTTTGGATTCGATTAAGTCAGGAAAAAGCATCAACTTTAAAACCTCATAGCCTTGGTGATAAAGGTTCCTATGCCGGTGCAATACACGAACGACAACTACTTCTGACTTGCTTTTTCATTCAGGAAGGAAATGCACCGCAAAAAAAGCTAGGTCATTTTCCGCACTTGTTTTTACATCATGTTGCAAGGTTCTCTAATCGATGGGCGTTGGCAAAGAGCGGAAATGGGCTAGATGGAAAAATCTGTGCTCGATAATGTCATACTATCCGGATTATAAAACCTTGCTTCCTGGTGAAAACTTTTCAAGCGATAGAGAGAACAATCTCCTCCCGCCTCCTGCCTAAACACCTTAACGACAGGTGGCATAATGGTTGGTTTTTGCGACATCAGGACATCTTGATGTCTCATAGAGTTTTTTTTTTTAAATTTCCCAA